TGAGCATTTCCATAGACTGAAAAGTAAAATCCAAACAAAAAAATCACAGACACACACTACACAGTTCACTGACCAAAAGATCCAACATGCACAGAAGCTTTCTTTATAGCATGCAGATGCCACTAAATTAATTAGGACCTACATAAGGCATATCACCTCAACAAAGCAAAACATCTCAATATTTCTATTGTATTAGTCCTTGAAAATGAGAATGTAACCATGAAATAACTGCAGCAAACAGACAATTGTCTCCATAGCTCACTCATTATAATTTTATTATATAATATCCAAACTGAAACAAACTTGTCTTTCTCTGCTTGTCCAAAGGGACAGATTGACTTGTGCCTGGTGGTCAGCGGCTGCGGTTTAAATGTGACTCCCTAGAGCCTGGGCCTGTCGATAACATGTACTAGTTTGAATCAAATAAGATTGTATTTGACTATTTTTGACCTCCCCAAATTGTACTTTGTAAGATTTGAGGTTAAAATGAAAATTTTGATAGGGAATTTTGACAGCAAGTGGCAGCTGAACAGTCTTAAACATGAAATGTCAATGTTTCTTTATAACTGGCCATTAAGTGTATTATGAACTCAATAGTCTTTACAAACAAGAATACACTGAGTAAAATCTGCATTTACTATAGTATACATTCAAGCATAAACAAATATTGTTACTTTTTAATATAAAACTGTCACAGATTTAGCCAACAGTGAAGAAGCCACGATATAAATAAAATTAGTTTGTGTGATTCTTTTTCCTATCCCCAGATGACACGTTTCTCTGAGATGATATTCTCTCTCTTGATACCAAACAACTTCTGTCACATAATGTTTATATCATGTGAATTTTACAAATGCATAGTAAAACAAAACAAAATAACAACAACAAAACAGGTTTGATTTTCTGGGAGAAAAAGATTGATCGGCACAAGAAAACAAATAAGTTATTTAAATTAGGACTTCAGTTAATTGCAATATCAACTCCATTTTTACAAAATATTCCAAAATCACCACATTGGTCTGACCTAATAAGATTTCAGATGCAAATATTTATTACTCTTAAGTGTTTAAAGCTAAAGCCTGCATGTAGATCTGGATGTTTACTATAGTTTCCCCCCCACCCCCCGAGACAGGGTTTCTCTGTAGCTTTGCAGACTGTCCTGGAACTAGCTCTTGTAGGCCTGGTTGGGTTCGAACTCACAGAGTTCTGCCTGCCTCTGCCTCCTGAGTGCTGGGATTAAAGGCGTGTGCCACTACCGCCTAGCTAGTTTTTTTTTTTTAAATAACAAAAATATCATTTGTACTCTAAACTGTATCAAGAAGCCATTTCGGTTAACTTACTTCATAAAGCCAACAGACCTATTGAGATCTCTTCTATCACAAATCTAAAAAGGATTTCTTTTTGTCAAGATATAATATTAAGAACATAAAGATCGTTGGTGCTCAAAAACGATATATCTAGCATGGAGCCCTTCCTATAGTAAGCATGCAAACTTCTGCATACCTAACTTGAATTAAAGTTTATAAATCATATTTATTTATAATAAAATCTCTACAGCAGGGTCTTTGCAATAATCAATCAATTACTCATGATGAAGAATGTAACCTTTAGCAGCAATATGGTCAATGACCAAACTGAAACAAACCTGTCTTCCTCTGCTTGTCCAGAAGGACAGACTGACTTGTACCCGGTGGTTAGAAGCTGCGGCTTAAATATCTGAGACAAAACTTTGGACCTGAGATGAACAGAGCTTCAAGTGAGACCTCCACCTCTCCAAGAAAGCTATCAGGAAGCCTTTTGCCTTCCAGATCTCTGGAAAATGTTGGGCTTCCTGAGGAGTCAAAACCTCAAGATTGTACAATATATGATTCAAATGTCTACAACCTCAAGGACGGTGTTCCCAAGCCAAGAAACTTGACACCATTGTGAAACCCTTGAGGCTCTGGCAGTAGCAAAAGCAGAATCGTGGAGCAAAGCCTCCAGAACCAAGGTACACAGGCCTCCCAGAGGAGTGTAAAAACCTGGCAAGTTACAGCACAAGGAGCAGCCAAGGAAACATGCAATCCCTGTGTGGCCAGCTCTACTAAAAGTTAACCCAGAATGCTTAAACACAGGAATTAGGGAGAAGGCCAGCGAATGTAAATCTTCATGTTCAAGACCTTTGCCAAGCTAGAGATGCAAACCACAAGATTATTAGCTTGGCCCCTTTGCCTTCCCCGAGGAAGGATGGATCCCATGCGAATATCTTCTAGGGCTTTGGACCATCTCTTTTTTAATGTCTCAAGCAATGGAGTTTCTTTCATCATGTCCTTTGTCCTTTGGAAAGTTTCTCTCTCTTTTTTTTTTTCTTTAAGAGAAGCAAAACCAAAAGTAGCTTTAAATGTTAAGGCTATTTGATAGTATTTTTCAAATACTCCTATTTATAAACCCTCTCTTGAAAGCTTCCATGAATAGACGCCCCCACTTTGGTTCTAACAATGAATGTGTAATGATCTGGTATCCTCCAGAGACAACACTAGTTGCCTACGTCTCAGTGTGTTTAAGGCATCTTTGTTTTATTAAAGCCTCTGTACATTTTTTTTTCTTTTCTGGTTTTTTGAGACCAGGTTTCTCCGTAGCTTTAGAACCTGTCCTGGAACTCACTCTGTGGACCAGGCTGACCTCGAACTCACAGAGATCCAACTGTCTCTGCCTTCCAAGTGCTGGGATTAAAGGCGTGCATCTCCACCACCTGGTTAAGTCCCTGTACTTTCTCACACTTTCATCTCATGCTCTAACGGTGGTATTTACAGCCACATGGGTGTTCAGACAGGCCCCTTTCATAATCTCATCTGTGGCCACAGGCTTGGTTTGGAACTTTGCTCCTTATCAGTTTCTCCTTGGTCTTCTGTTACATTCATTCTTGGTTAACACATCTCACTAACCCTATCAATACTATACACTAGCACAGTGCCTGCTTGATGAAAAATTGTCATGTGTGTCACATGACTAATTGAACTGAATTAATAAAAAATAAGTTTATTCTTTCTACTTTTCTCATTTCATATTTTACTTTTCCAGCTTTCCCTTGCTCACTGATTAGAACAGATAACCTTTTCCCAATGCCTTTAAGTGAATGCTAAGCTGTCAAGAAGGAGTAAATAATAACTGGGCTCAAGTCTTACGTATCTCTGCATGCTTTGGGCTACTTTCATTTATGCCTATGTTTTACGTGATATAGGAATAGGAAATATTTTATTTATTTTTAAATATTTATTTATAGATTTTGTTTTGTTTTGTTTTGTTTTGTTTTTCAAGACAAGGTTTCTCTGTGAAGTCCTGGCTGCCCTGGAACTCACCCTGTCAACCGGGCTGGCCTCAAACTTAAAGATCTACCTGCTTCTGCCCCTAGTGCTGAGATTAAAGGCAGGAGCCCCCTTCAACCCCTGACTTTATTTATGGATGTTAATCACCTTGACATACCTAGTCAGGATGTTTCCAGGAAGCTCTGAGTGAGCTGTAAGACAATTTCAGAGAGAAAGGATGATGGAGCCAGGCACGAGGTTATCTGGTGGCTGAGAGGATGCAATGGGCCATGTGGGAGCCGGCACGGGCTTTGTGGGCTGTGAAAGGAACTCAGCTTAATGGAAGGGAAGAGTGAGGAGGAGACTGTGGAAAGGGACTGAAGCCGGCCATGGCTGTTCCTAGGACATCCTCCTCCAAGAATGCCCAGGAGAAGCAACGCCTAAGTATCTCTCTAGTCACTAGTAACCGCCTTCACTAGCACCCAAGCTGCTTGCTTGTGTGACTCTCACATCTCAGCTTTTAAACAGGAAACATCATTTGCAGCCGTTATATCAGATTACCAGATGGTAGCATTCAAAACTCAGTTAAGGTCCTGTGCTCAACACATCTTCTTTTCCTATTGCCGTTAATGAGTGAGTGGGCACAGAGAAGAATGTCATTTCCTGGGAAATGCTTCATTTAAGATGACTAGTACCCCAAAGGGGCTGGTAATCCAAGTCGGTCCTGCTGCTAAGAGTAGATGATCTATCTTTAATGGCACAAAGGACTGGTGAAACGAGGGCTTTGCGTCACTCGGTGTACTTTATTACATATTCACGTGAGACTATGCTCCCTGGGATGGTGATGTTAAAGTTCAATGAAGCTTTGGGCAATCAGGCAGGTTTCAATATTGACAGCATACAATGTGGTGATCATTCTTTTAGGTTTCTGTGATAATTGATGCTATCTGGGCAAGAATTCTCCTAAAGATACCTTCTTGGTTTCTCTTTAACTAATACGTCCACTAACTAGAGGCTTTGTATTGCTGAAGATACAGTTTCTGGAATTCTAAGGAAGAAGATAATATCTAAGGGACATGTTAAGCAACACAAGGCTTGCTTCTTGCCTTGGGGCACTTAAAACATCCATTTTTATGTTTGCCAAATAGCTGTATGAAAAGTAAAATCACAAGATTTATACAACAGCAGAAAAAAAAAAGTCACCCAGTGGTGTGTGATTCATTCTGAAGCAAGGGTGCTGTGGAAGTCTGGAGAAGTAGGCCAGCACAAGCTGGACAGACAGCAGAGGCTTTCTGTGTGGGTGCAGTTTGACCTGGCCTAGATGAAGCGAACACAGTAAAGAAAAAGCGACCATCCTGCCATGCAGAGGAGAGGTGAACAAACCTAAGCTGGGAAAGGATGGGGCCTGAGGGACACTCATTCAGCTGGTTGGAACTGGAGAAGCACCGCATCCCCAAGACTGGCCAGACTGTGAGCCTTCAGTCAGACTGCAGAAGACCCCTGAGGGCAAAGGGAGGGATGTGCGCTCTACCTACAGTCGGCAGACAGCCCTTCTTCACATGTGAGAGCAGCAGAAATATGTTCCGTAAGAAATATCCAAAATCCCTTTCTCTTGAAAGTGTTTCCCTCGTGAAGTGATCTCCGAAGGAGTTTTGAAGTTTGTAGGCATTATCTCTGTGCTTAGATCAGATGTTCTGGATACACCCAGAATGCCAGTGGGTATGATAATACTGCACTTATCATTATATATGCCAGTGTGTGGTACTGTGCTATCCTATACTTATGAAACACTGGAAAGTAGCCCAAAAATATACAGAATTGTAACATTATCTTAGTTTTTCATAATGGAATGACCGACTACAAATCTCTACCCACCTGGGTTAGAGAAAACTGCTATTTTTATACTGTTAAAACAGAATGGCATGGTAAGTACACAGAACCTAAAGAACAGTTTTCATTGTTTCTGATGCAGTGACCGTGAAGACTTGAGACAGGTGTGGATGGAGAAAATATTGCAAGGCGTATTGACATTAGACTTTAAAACTGGAAAGAATAATGAGTTTTCTTAAGTAGTTAGATTTCTTGAATTTGTGTCTATAATCAACTACGGTGTATGTGTAGGGAAGAACTTGGGCTTTCTCTATTTTCCAGTTTTACCTAAGAGGTTTCCATTTAAATGTCATCTTCTCCTTGGGTATGGAATAAAATAGTTATTTCTTCTCAAGTCATCCTCTTACCTTCCTTCTTGGCATTCTTATTATATATAATCTGTAATGAGTTTTGACACAGGATGTCATTTTGTAGACCAGGATGGCCTAGAATCCACTATCCTCCTGCCTTAGCTTCCAGAGTACTGAGACTGCAAGTACTATATGCCCAGATCTATAATTATCGTTTTTGTTTTGTTCTTTTCAAGACAAGATTTCTCTGTGTAGTCCTGGCAGCCCTAGAACTTGCTTTGTAGACCAGGCTGGCCTGGAACTCAGATATTCACTGCCTCTGCCTCTGAGTGCAGGGATTAAAGGGAGGAGTCACCACTGCCCAGCATATTGTTATCTTAATAAAAAGTAAGTCCATCTTTTCTAGGCCTAAATTTCCTGTACTCACATGAGAATCTGGCACCCAGTGGGCTTTTAGTAAATACATGTAGAATGATGGAGCCACATAGCAACAAAATGCATGAAGAGAAGGTAAGATGCAAAGGTGTAAAAAAAGGTGCTCCTGGTCAGAAAATGCAGATACATAATAAAGACACATTTGGACAAAAATAAACCTCTGAATGAGTCACAGTGTGTTTTAAAATTTTACGCAGGCTTGGGAGAGAGAAGAAAAAGAGTACAGTGATAAAAAGAAATAATTTCAAAAAATAAAACAAAGTCTTTAGAGAGACAGTAAAAGTAATATAAAAGAGTACAGACAGTCATAGATCAAAGGAGTAAAAAAAAATAAATCACATAAAAAGGGAATATACACAGAGAATCTGAATTATGCATATTATTGTGTTTTCTTTGACTGCTTTGATTGCAGAGAGACATTTGACTCTGGGGGCTGCTAAGCTAAACCAACATATATATTTTAAAGGTGTTTTGACTTCAAAATTTGGGTCTAAGGATATGTTACTTTGGAAAAGAGGTTCTGCTTTTGTTTCCACAGAAGATGAGAACCTGTGGACTCCTTCTAGGCTAATATGGTTTGATAGAACAAGACCCCCCTGAAATGTCTCTGTGAACTCTAAAAATACTTCACCCAACAAACAGTAGGAAGCAGTCTGGAGAAAACTGTGCCCAAATTCCCAATGGTCACAATCAATTTATATTTAAAAAAAAGAGCAGGGGAGGGATATGATGTAGAGATGAATACTCTGCAAAGTTATGGATCTTGGTCTATTGATTCAAATTTAAGGTTAATTTTGTTATATGTATATTTCTACTCTTGTTTAAGGTATTATATTTATACAGTTCATTAAAAAATATAATGTATAGTTAAAATTACAGATAAATAGTTATTTATAATAGTCAAACTTGTAATCATATTAGTTAGGTTTTCTAGATATACAAAGATATATTTCAGTTAGATAATCTTCAACATGTCACAGACCTACAAAATATGGCATTTAAAATGTTTTAAAAACTTAGACTTTTCTTAACAGTGAGACATGTCTGCTTCTGGCAGCACCAATTACTTCAGAGAGATTGATGGGCATTGAAGAAACCTGCTATGAAATTTGCCTTCAATGTGACAAGGCTAGCCATTTGGGCAAGAAACTGTTCTTGCCTGGACTGCCTGTTGGTATGCTGTATAAATTGGACATGCAGGGCCCATAGAAAAATGACTGTTGAACTTGTCAAAAGGTGAGACAGTCCTACAGGGTTCCTGATTCATGAAAGAGTCTGTCAGACATTCTGCAGGACAAAGTCTGCCAGATACTATGGGCCTGTAGGCTGAAGATGGATGCCCCAATATTACAGAAGAACTTTGGATGACTGTCCAGGCAGCAAGATGTCTCTGTTAATTCTAGAGTTTTTGAAGTTGCTTACAATGCATTTCCTGTTTACTTAGATAATATTATATCCTTCTGGGGTCTTTGATGAGGCTGAAGACTAGATAGCTATAATTATAGTTTTCTTTAGTTATGATAAAAGATAAATTAGATATAAAACCTTAGACTTACAAAGATAGGATAGATGATAGAGTATTTCCTTAATTTTTCACATGTAAATGGACTAAATATTGTAACTGTAATTCTTGTTTGATACATGTTTTGTTATACGTAATTTTACTATGTTAAAGTAAAAACTATTCTTTTTTATTTAGACAGAAAAGGGGAGATGATGTGAGAGTCCCCTCTGTAGGTTGTGAATATGTTTTATTACCACTGGTTAATAAAGAAGCTGCTTTGGGCTATGACAGGGCAGAATATAGCCAGGCTGGAAGAGATATATAGCAAGAGTAGGTAAAGTCAGGGAAACGCCATGTAGTTGCCAAAGGAGAAAGGCCAACCACTGAGGAAACAAGACATGTAGAAAATGAGGTAACACCATGGCCTTGTGGCAATACACACATATTAAGAGAAATTGGCTAAAGATTTAAAAGCTAACTAGAAATATGCCTGAGTCATTGGCCAAGCAGTGTTGTAATTAGTATTTCTTTGTTATTATTTGAGTCAGGGTGGCTGGGAAATAAACAAGCATTCTCTACTTACAAGTCACTTCTAAAGAAATAAAAGTTCATCCAGAAAAGAAATGATTTAAAACAAGCAGTGACTGAGCACTGGTGCTCACTGGAGTGCTGACTGCTCATGGCTACATTTGGGGGTCTAAGAAGTCCCTGCAGGCTCCCTTATTTGAAAGACTAGTCTCCAGTTCGTGGTGCTGTGTTGAGAATGTGGTACCTTTGGGATGTGAGACCTAGCTAGTAAAAATGGATCGTTGCGGGCGGGTGTGCTGAAGAATGGGGCACTGAAGGTAACATCTGAGTCTGATTTCAACCTGAGCTCTCTGCTTCCTGTCTGTAACCACTGAGTGAACTCTACTACAAGCTACTGCTACCAAGCCACCTCTGCCACCATGCCTTCCCCACCATAATGGACTGTACCTCCTCCCTTTGGTTCTCCTGTCAGGTAAAAGTTTCAAAGGTAATTAACACACTTTCCATAAATATTATATGTAACAGAACACAAAATGGAGAAGTCAACAGAAGAGACCAAAGGGAGACCAGGAATATCAGATTCTGGCACTGGATGTGAGGTCCAAGACCGACGCCTGGGAGAAGGCCAGTGATTTTGAAAATGCCATTTTCATGTGGGTAAGGACAGAACACCAATTTCAGGAACTAAAGAACAGGTAAAAAGGCAAGAAGACAGGGACCAAAGTCAGCTCTCACAAGCACATGCATGCCAAACAGGAAGCAGAGGGCCTAGCCTCTGAAGAGGGGAATCAGGGATGTGGAAAAAGGGCAAGACAAGGAGATCTGGGATCCAGGTCCAAAAAGAGCTCAAAAATGCCCCCCACGTCAGTCACCACATATCCTTCTTCTGTGAGAAAACCTTCTGACCCATCTCTGTTTCTTACGGAGGAACAAAGGGGGCAGTAGATATGAAGTGGTATAAAGTTGTTTCTTTGTAAGACCTCTAATGACGTTCTAAAAACAAGGAACATATCTATAAATGAATGTTTTCTTTGAAGCAAATCAAGGTAAAGCCTCACTGAAGCTTAATTAAGTTAGCTTGGATTTTTTCCCACTTTGATGAAAGCTTTGCCCTATTCAGCTACAGCTCTGCTGAGGCCAGAAACGAGGAGTGCTTATATTTATCACTGACACTTTGTTGAACTTGTCCGTTCTTATTAATCACAGCTTTAAAGTAAGCAGCCAAGATACTCTTAGGAAGCCGATATTCCCAGCTGACCTATCAGCAAAAATGGTGAAGCCTGATACTCTCCTGCTGCAGAATGTCTCTACAGACAAATGTGTTTGTGAAGCTGTGCGCACATGAGTGTTTATGTGTGTGTTTCTGAGACCAAAAGAAGCAAGAGGTTTTTGTGTAGCAACCAGAAAGTTCATCACATTTTATCTTCTAAAAACGTGGAGAATCAAGAGCCAAAGCCTCCCATGATATGTTTATATTTTCCACAGGAGGAAAATCTTATCTGAAATATGAAGAATCCAGCTTAAAAGCTTGGTATGAAGGTAGGTGGAAGTTGCACCTTTAGCTGATGAGGTTTCTAAGGTGCTGGGCCATGTGCAGACACAGACCCTGCAGTGTGACTACCCGACCCTCTGGCACAGTGTTAGAATTCTTCACCTAAGGTTCACAAAAGCCCCATTAGCACCATTTTTCTTTCTGCTTTATAAACATCAGCATTTTTGTTTGATTAGTGTGGCTGATCTTTGCTTACTTTCTGGTTCCGAATTTTTAATATGCATGCTATTGGCTCCTTTAGCTATATAATATAAATATGTGTGCCTGAGAATTTATAATTTCGAGGCTACGTAAACTTAACAATCAATAATTTCTAGTGATCCTATTAGGTTCTTTAAAAAATGGATCCCTTTTGTAGGGTCCTTCTTTCTTGTCAAAGTTCTATTCCTTCTTTTGTCTTTCAGTTAAGGTATGCTTGACTTTAGCCTTACTCTGGATTGCTCTCTATCTCCAGCTGGGAGGTGACCAGTTCTTATGCTTCCTCATTCATCACCACGCCCTCACCACACCCCTCTCACGAGACTTAAAGCAGAATGCCCAGCGTTTTCACCTGGGCTGTTTTCACTCTCTTTCAGAACCACACTTCCCACTAAAACTTCTTAACTCAGAACTATTCAGAAATTCATTTTTCAATCTCGAAACATAGGAACACTAGGCTGCTTTTAAGTACCTTGATATAAATACTGGATAATTAAACTTCATTTTTCATTATCATCATTATTATTACATGTAGTTTGGAGACAGAATCCAGGGCCTTGCTAGGCAAGTGCTCAGCCTCTGAGCTCCATTCCCAGTCCCTGAAAATAATGTAGTCTATGTACGATGCATTAGAATTTGCTGAGACTTAAAATTTTAATTAATAGATAATCAGTGTCTATGACTGTTCTATATGTATTCAAAGAATATAGATTCGTTATTATTCACTGAGCTCTCTCATGTCTTTTTAGATATAGTGCTATAAGTTCACTAATTTTGTGGTTCAAATTTTCCCTCATTACTAAATTTCTGCCTCCTTATGCAGTCATTTTCTAAAAATGGTGTGTTAAAAACATTCCTCTGGCTGGAGAAATGTTCAACATTTAAGTTTTACATTATTACTGATTTAAAGTGAATGTGGTTAGATAAAGCTTTATCTGTTATTATCATTGATATATTCTACTGTGGTCCTTTCTGGCTTTATATTTTAAGTTCTACATTGGCTGATATTATATCAGCACCGGAGCTTTACTTGGGAGGAGCTGTCTGGAGTTCTTGTTTCATTTCCTTACCTTGGAATTCTCTGTGTAGCTTTGTTTCAGGTGTATATCCTCTACTGATTCTACTCAACTAAAAAAAAAAATCCAATGTGATCTCTTCTTTAAGTGATAAAGTTGCCTTTATGACTATTTTTATAATCTTATTTTTATCATCGTCTCTCTTTGCTTCTTTCTTCTTCCTTCTTGTTTATTTTTGACTTAACACTTCTCTTTTTTTGGCTTAACAATTCTTTATAGTTACTTTGTATTTTCCCTCTACTGAATGCTTTCAATAATCCATAGCCCCAACTTACCCCAGCTAACTTCTTAACTGTTTGCTAATTTCACTTCTTTTGTAAACTGGCGGGGGGGGGGGGGGGGGGCTTATTTAAAAAGAACCAATTTCCTGCTCCTGTGTTTACTGTTGTCTCTGTATTCTCCATTTTGCCTGTGTGTTCACATACTTACGGGCAAAGCTGGAACTCAAAGTGATGTGCCTTTCTCTCCAAGGTCCCTTTTCCAGATCCTAACAATCCGCTATTCACAGAGTAGAAGGCATTCTGGATGTAGGAGGCAGGGGCACAGGGCTAAGAGGCGACAGGAGATGGAAAGGATGGGTGAAGAGGAGGCTGCCTTGAAAAGACATGTCATGATAGAAACACGAGCTGGCCTGGACAGGATTTCAGCTAACTCGTGATGTATGAGTATCTTACATAGAGATGAGACAAAACACAGTTAATTAAAGGTTGTATGTAAGTCAGTGGTTGGACTAAAAGGCAAGGTAGCTGAACCCTTCAAGGCCTACATATGTATGGCAAGGTAGGTATAATGCTTGGTCTATAATAGGTGCACAGGAGAATTAACGAACTAAAGGTAATGAAAGCAGGCAAGAAAGATAGAAATTGAAAGAAGAGAAGAGATTGAGGACAAAAAAAATGAGAGAGAAGCAAGTAGAAAGGAAGTAAAAAGAAAACCAAGTAAGGAAGGAAATAAAAGGACAGTTTCTCAGTTAACAACAACAGCAAAGGATCACATTTGTATTTTTAAAAATGTAACTGTGTGTTTTTAAGTGGGCAAAACAGGGAAAGGGATAAAACTTCGTATCTGTTATTTAAGTACTAGGGGAGGCACAGCTCCTACGCTGCTAGGCACATCAGCGTTATCTAGTTTCTTCTAGTTAACAAACAAAGGTTTAAAAACTAAGGTCGAGCAATAACAAGCAGGGACTGAACAGAGAGCAGCAGGGACAGTGTGGCTGTCCCACAGTTCCCTGTCCATTTCCGGTGACAGAGACCAGCTCAGTCTGCTAGCTATCTTCTTAGAGAACAGTCCCACAGGGAGCGCTCCTCCGCCACCTGCCCCACTCAGGACAGCCTCACTCTCCAGGATGCCCACCTGCTCTGGAGAAGGGCAATCCCCAACACACAGGCATGGTTTCTCCCTTCAAAGTCAGGTCAACAGCCCTATCAAAACAGAAAGAACAAAGGTCCACCTGAGAGCCTCTTCCTCCCCAGACAGGAGCTTCAAAGAAGAGAGAAAATGTTTCCTGTGAAGTGTTAGGAACTTTATTCATCTTGGTCTTCCTCACTTCCCTAAAACAGAATTTCAATACTGTCCCAGAACAAAATGGTGACAGAAAAATTGAGCGAACCCATGAATACCTAGGAATGTCCTATGTAACCCTTGTTTTATATATTTAAGAAGATGTATGCTGTACCCATCAACATGAATAAACTCTTACATGGAAATCATAGCTCAAGAAATATAGGCCAATGGAGAAAAGGCAAATGCTGCCTACTACATCTCCATGGCCAAGGTTTCACACCGTCAGGATGACTGACATTTTAGGCCACACAATTATCTGTTATGGAGCCTGTTTTGTGTGCTAGAGATGTTTAGCAACATCTCTGTATGGACACACAGACGGACAGATGGAAAGACACACACACACACACACACACACACACACACAGTACCATCAAACATATCTGGGGGCAAAAGTCTCACTTGGTAGTTGTCAGGTGACATATTTTTAACTCACAGAAATGAGTTATTTATCTTCACCAACAGAAATATGTGTTTTGCATATTCATAAATATCTGA